AAATATAAAGTATTATATAAAGATTGCAAACATAAAGATAATAAAAAATTAAAAAAAAAAAAAAAAAAAAAAAAAAACCCAGGAAGGGGGCAGAAACATTTTCACGGCACTGTATGTATGTATGTATGTATGTGTGTGTATATATATGTGTGTCCAGAACATGTTGCAACACATTTCTGCTATTGTGATCACTAAATGGAAAATACAAACCACAATGTGTTGCAATATTTTTGAAGTGGCATTTTACAGAAAGACTGTATGACATTGCAAATGACCTAGTGACCTGTGCTGGAAGTTGGAAAAAAAATAGTAAATAATTCCATTGTCACAGGAACTGAAGGTTCAAACGCTCACTGATTTTCCATTAGGAAAAAACGATGCATTAAGAAAACTTTTGAACAGAGTGAAGATACATTTTTCTTATTTTGCCTAAACATCATATTTTTTCATTTAGTACTGCCATTCAGAAGCTACAGAAGATACTTAAATGGGTCATATGATGTTGCTAAAAAGAACGTTATTTTGTGTATTTGGTGTAATGAAATGTGTTTATGCAGTATAAGGTTAAAAAAAAACATTATTTTCCACATACTGTACATTATTGTTTCTCCTCTATGCCCTGCCTTTCTGAAAAGTGTAGATTTTTACAAAGCTCATCGGTCTGAAAAGCGAGGTGTGCTCTGATTGGCCAGCTATCCATTGCGGTGTGTTTGGCTTAATACCTCAAGTGTGTGACGGAAATGTTACGACCCTTACCATACTGTGATGCCGTGTCCCAGCGCAACGAGACAAAACCAATAAAACCCATTACAAACAAGGCATTTGTAGCATCCAGTGGGGAAATAATTACGGATTATAATGACTTATACTGTCTTTTTACACGTTGAGTTGCATCGCACCACGTAAACATAAAACCATGTCTGCATTTGTGATCAGAGAAATGACAAACAACAAGCGCTACTCTACACTGCTCAAAACTCGCGTTTGAATCATCAGTGGCAAATTCTTTAAATATGAATACGTACTTACAGACTGTGAGTCAGAAAAGCCGGCATTGTGGTCTACTCTCCCAGGATCAGGAAACAGTCCTCCATGTGCTGCACACATTTTAATATTTGGGTTGAACTGTTCTGGAACAGTGTTGTAAATACAACTTAACCACTGATTTCTAGTTGTGTCCTCTTTTGGAAGGCCAAACAAAGTATTTTCGCTTTCGCAACGAAACACACAGCTTCTTCACAACATGGTGGCGGTAGTGGCAGCAACAATAAAGTACACCTTCTTTCTTTGCGTGAACATTTGGGCAGCGTTATGCAAATCTTCCCACATCGTGACGTAGACATGTGGGGGCGTGTTTAAACGAGGCGTTTTAGGTAGGCGTGGCCGAGTCTTAACTTTTATAAAGAATATCTCTTTGGGTTTGAGACTTTAGCCTTTGCAACGTTAGGGATCTTATCTGTTCACGAACAGCTTGTAATACTACAAAGAGAAAGGAAAACTTTGCATCACATGACACTTTTAAATGTACAAACCCAATTCCAAAAAAGTTGGGACACTGTACAAATTGTGAGTAAAAAAGGAATGGAATAATTTACAAATCTCATAAACTTATATTGCGCAACGAGACAAAACCAATAAAACCCATTACAAACAAGGCATTTGTAGCATCCAGTGGGGAAATAATTACGGATTATAATGACTTATACTGTCTTTTTACACGTTGAGTTGCATCGCACCACGTAAACATAAAACCATGTCTGCATTTGTGATCAGAGAAATGACAAACAACAAGCGCTACTCTACACTGCTCAAAACTCGCGTTTGAATCATCAGTGGCAAATTCTTTAAATATGAATACGTACTTACAGACTGTGAGTCAGAAAAGCCGGCATTGTGGTCTACTCTCCCAGGATCAGGAAACAGTCCTCCATGTGCTGCACACATTTTAATATTTGGGTTGAACTGTTCTGGAACAGTGTTGTAAATACAACTTAACCACTGATTTCTAGTTGTGTCCTCTTTTGGAAGGCCAAACAAAGTATTTTCGCTTTCGCAACGAAACACACAGCTTCTTCACAACATGGTGGCGGTAGTGGCAGCAACAATAAAGTACACCTTCTTTCTTTGCGTGAACATTTGGGCAGCGTTATGCAAATCTTCCCACATCGTGACGTAGACATGTGGGGGCGTGTTTAAACGAGGCGTTTTAGGTAGGCGTGGCCGAGTCTTAACTTTTATAAAGAATATCTCTTTGGGTTTGAGACTTTAGCCTTTGCAACGTTAGGGATCTTATCTGTTCACGAACAGCTTGTAATACTACAAAGAGAAAGGAAAACTTTGCATCACATGACACTTTTAAAATATTGAAATTTGAAACTTCCACATCATTGCATTCTGTTTTTATTCACAATTTGTACAGTGTCCCAACTTTTTTGGAATCGGGTTTGTACTTACGTTTCACCCCCCGGCTCTTAATACATCAGTGAGCGTTTGCACCTTCTGTAATAGTTGCATATGAGTCCCTCAGTTGTCCTCAGTGTGAAAAGATGGATCTCAAAATCATACAGTCATTGTTGGAAAGGGTTCAAATACACAAAAATGCTGGAAAACCAAAGAATTTGTGGGACCTGAAGGATTTTTCTGAAGAACAGCAGGCAGTTTAACTGTTCAGGACAAACAAGGGACTCATGAACAACTATCACTAAACAAAAAACACAGCTGTGGTCAGGTAACAACAAGAATCAAGTGTATGTAAACTTTTGAACGGGGTCATTTTTATAAATTATACTATTATTTTCTCTTGTGGACTATATGTATCTGTGAACTATATATGCATACGTACATACACCAAATTTTCTTCCATGACATGAAGTTCATTTTGGACCCTGACTACAATCATTCTAATAAAAACATTTTAGTCATCCATCACTGTAAAAATTAATTGGTTTAGGTTGGACAATTAAAGTTTTTTGGGTGTTAGTATCAATATGTTAGTCTTACGGTTATCTATAAGGCAGTGTGCTCCAAAACAGTGACAAAATTCACACTTAGAAGATATAAGCATTCAGAGCTTGCAGTTCGTCACTTTCGCCAAAACAGCTCAACGTTTTTTTTGACGTCACAGCATACTTCAGCTTCTCATCAAACTTTCTGTCCAATCAAATGCTCTCTAGAATCCGAAGCGCCCGCCCCCTACACTATAAAATAGACGCTGAAGCCGCGGCTGAAATCGGTCACTTGTCCACAGAATTAGTATTTTCTGTACAGTGAATGAACGATTCAAACAGTGTAAATATGCTTTCCATTGAGGAAAAAAAGAAGTCTGGTTTCCCGCTGTGTCACGCTAACCACGCTCACTCTGCTCCGGTCCAGAGACACGATAGCACGGAGCGGATCACATGCGCGAGTCGGCGCAGACCACAAAATGTATCAGAGCTATTTGAATTCTACACAGAATGCTATATTTTATAGCAATATGGATGAGATTGTGGCTGGCATACCCTGTCAAATGCGGCTTTACGGAGCTCAATGGCTCTGAACGGCTCTAGCCCAAGCTGTGATATAAACAAACTCTATTGGCTATTTTAAAAAGGGGCGGGGCTGCTTGATATGCCCCGCCCTGTCTTCCTGTTTCAGTTCAAATGACGTCAACACATAGAGTAACACTGCGTGTTTCTAAGCATTTCAGGGGACCTTTAAAGGTGCAGTAGGTGATCTTGGAAAACGCTAACTTTAGCCTGACAGCACCGAAAGCGAACGTCCCACCCTCCCTGCAATCGCCATCCAAAGCCACGCCCCCTGAACTCATATACGCTCACAGAACAGAATACCAGAGACAACATTACTACAATACATCATGTCATTCACCGGTGAGAAAACTTCATAGCACAGTTAGTAAAAGTAGACCACTTAACTTAATGATTGCTATCAGGATGTGAAGAGATAACAAAAAATGTTTCTGAAGACAATCACCTATTGCACCTTTAAATTAAACAAATTAACCTTCTTTTTGAAGTACCTTATCTGGTTGGAGGCAGCAGGAAACGCAGTACTCGTAGACGCTGCAACAGCCATTGGCCAGACAGCTTTTACAGACATACTGGCTTGAGCTGGGAGCATTAACGTTACAACATCCATTCACCAGTAAATCCTTCCTCTCACACACATAACCTGAAGAGAAAGAAAAGGGAACATATGTTTCATCGGTGAATACACAAAAACTCAGGGACCTGTTAACAGTTTGAGTTGCACATTAAAGCATTGTGTGGTTAGAAATTGCATGTCAATTTTGAGATTTGAGGCTATTTTGCTTACATAACTTGTCTTTTTTTTTTAAATAGTGGAAAGACAGCTAAAGTTCTTAATCTAATTTTATTACACGCATGTGCAGATTTCAATTACAATACACATCTTTAAAGGCCATTTATCATTTATCTTTAAAACCCAAAATGCGTTCATGTCTTAAGACAACTTTGATGAACTTTTTTGGATCCACTTCAAATGTTGACTACTGTATATTGAACAGTTTATCCCCATCACTTACCCAGTTCATCCGTGAGAAGGATCTTTCCCTGAATAGAGTTTCTGCACTGGGAGATCTGCCTGCTGCTGTTGCCCAGGATGAACTGGACCTTCCACTGGATGTGATGATCTGAGTCCCTCACCTCCAGGAGGGTCCGATCATGGATGGTTCGCTCCTCCTGTACACAATACGTCACATACAAAAATATAATTCCTTTGCCATTATATGCTTCATTACATCTCAGGAGTGGTGTTGAGCTGAGTAAGAAACCATTACGGGTCAAGCTAGTTCAGGAGCCTGGTGAGAACAAATCATGCACAAATAGCACCATATCGGGATCAGTCTGATTAGAACAATATTGGATGCCATGTCAGGGAGGGACTTTAAAAGCACTTTAAAAAATAATAATAATTTAAACAGTTAAACAATGTTTTCATACTGGATGTGTAATCGGGGTGAAATATTTAATGGTCAAAAGATTGTAATAATTACGATTTTTTTTTTTTAATGTTTTTGAAAGACGGCTCTTATGCTCACCAAGGCTGCATTTATTTGATCAAAAATACAATAAAATGGTTATATTGTGGAATAATATAATTTTAAATAACTAATTGTAAAATGTAATTCATTTCCTGTGATGAAAAGCTGAATTGTCAGCATCATTACTCCAGTCTTCAGTGTCACACGATCCTTCAGAAATCATTCTAATATGCTGATTTGCGCTTCAAAAAACATTTATTATTACTATTATGATTATTAATATTATTAGCAGTGCTGAATGATTGTATTACTTGCTGCTTATGGAAACCATGATACTCTACCAACCATTAAAGAAATTAATCATTTTATTCAGCAAGAGCATGCACGGAAAATTACAGTAAACACATTTATAATGTTACAAAAGATTGCAAATAAATGCTGTTTTTCCAAACCTTCTATTAGTCAAATAATCCTGAAAAATGGAAATCTACAGTTTTTTTGTTAAAGAAAGAAAGAACAAACGAACTGTTTGGTAATAAGAAGAATATTTTTGAATAATTTAAGCAGCAAATCAGGATATTAGAATG